CCTTTCACTTAGCATAATGTTTCCAAGCTTACCAATGCTGCATATATCAGTACTTCATTCCTTTTTTTGGCCAAATAATAGTTCATTGTGTGAATATGCCATATTTTATTTATCCATTCATTAGTTGATGGATGTGTGAATGGTTTCCTCTTTTTGGCTAGTTTGATGAATGCTGCCCTTAACATTTGTGTACAAGTTTTTGTGTGAACATGTTTTCAGGTCTTTAGAGTATATGCTCAGGAGTATAATGCTAGGTCATATGGCAACTCCATGTTTAATATTTAACTGCCAAACTTTTCCAAAGTGGCTACACCATTTTGCATTCCCAATGACAGAATATAGGGGCTCCAATTTCTCCACATCCTTGACAACACTTACTGTCTTTTTGATCATAGCCATTCTAGTGGGTTTGAAATGGCATCTCACTGTGGTTTGATTTGCATTTCCCTAATAGTTAATGTTAAACATCTTAATTAATGTTGGACATCTTTTCATGTACTTGGCAGCCATTTGTATAACTTCTTTGGATAAATGCTCAAATCTGTTTTTAAGTTGGATTACTGAGTTATGAGAGTTCTTCATATATTCTGGCTACACATCCCTTATAAGATACATAATTTGCAACTTATCTTCCCTCATTCTATGTCTTTTCATTTTCTTGATAGCATCCTTTGAAGCACAGTTTTTAATTTTGATAAAGTTCAATTTTTAAAATTCTTTCATCATTTGCCTTTACAAACTTTCATGCTTTCCCAGAGGAGAATTTTGTTAATAGGTTCTATATGAAATCAGTTTCATTACTAGAAAGCTAACTGAACTTTTAGACATACATTCACTAAAACCAATCTATTTATTTTATTCCAGTTGTATTAAATGTACTCTCCGTTAGCAGAAGAGTTCTGAGAAGTAACTGGATGGCCATGCTTGTATCAGTGGAAACATTTTCATTTAAAGAAAAGAAATCTCAACATCTGATTTCCACTTTATGTTAGAAAAATACTCTTTGGACAGTGGTCACTGCCAATAACCCTTCTTACTGTTGGAAAGCTCTTGTGAAACATTTGTCAAGCACATAAAACGGTATGAAGTGAAATATAGTAATTAAGACTTGTGTTCTATTGATTGTGTAGCTGAAGTAATTTTTCATTACTAACGTTAAGATTTAATAAGTATAAGTAGTTAAAGATTCTGACTTGGCACTAGTCATTAGCATGTAATTGAACTAGTAAAAAAGATCAGTTAAAGTTGTGTTGATTACCACCTTATCTTTGAAAGGCAATTAGAGACCTCAATCATTGCAACAAGATTTGATTGTGCAGCCTTTATTGGACATTGATCTTCCAGCAAAGTGCAGTTACATTTTCCATTAATTTACAGTAACACAGTTTAACTTTGATACCCTAGACTGTTGACCCAGGTGAGATGTAATGCTAAGTACTTGTTTAGGTTAAGATGCCCCCAAACATCATTACAGTCTGAATGGCAAGTGCTGAAAAAAAGTAGATACCTGATCCAGTAGCTTTAGGATAAAGTTTCTGTTATCTGCATTAGCTTTGAAATGAAATGAAACCAAGATCCTTGTTTTTATGTCACCTCACTCATTCAAACATCATTTCATTAAGAGTTATTTCATGCATTTATAAATGTTCTGATAGTTTTGAGTGACTATAAATGACACAAAATGAAATGTCTATATAAAAAGATACATGTGGCTTTTTTTTTTTAAAGAAACAAACATCGATTTGTTGTTCTGCTCATTTATGCATTCATTGGTTGTTTCTTGTATGTGCACTGACTGGGAATGGAACTTGCAACTTTGGAGTATCAGGAGACAACGCTCTAACCAACTGAGCTACCCAACCAGGGCTAATATGTATGGCTTTTAAGAATTAAAATTGTTTCAGTTTTTACTGAAGTCAATAATAAAATATTAGTGACTACATATGTGTGATGAAAGAAGTTATAAGTTTTTATATAATTTGTTAAGACATTAGCACTGAGAAACTTGGGATTTTATATTATTTTAGCAATGTTTTCCATGCTTCCAACTCTGTAACTTCCATCTTTAGGGTGGCTCATCACTTACATAGGAACTAAGAACTTTGACTAGAAATTTCTTCCAATACTGAATAATTGATTTTTATAGACATAACAATAAAAGATACAAGGTTTTATACTAAAAACACATCGGTAAAAAAATTTTGCCTGTATTATTTTAAAGGCAAAATCCCATTAAAGAAGTATAGGCAAAAACAAAACAAAACAACACCCCCAAAACTGTCTTTGGTAGTTTCACCAACTAAGAAAACTCCTGACATCCAGAGGAGTAGGGTCCCCCGGGAACCCTCTTGCCGTCGCAGGCTGAACCAGTGTGTTCACAGACACGCTCACACAAGAGCCATCACTGTGTATTCTTTTCCCCCCTCACATTGTTTTAAACATCTTCCTATGAATGAAGTCTTTTAAGTATAAATATAAATACATATGGAATAGAATGATTACAAAAGTAGCTTTCACTGAAATAAAGCTACATTTGCTTACGAGCATATTCATGATACAATTTAAGGTAGAAAGGTTTCCTGTTTTGTCCTCAGATTACAGGTGGAAAAACAGAAAACACGACAGAACAGTAGTTATTAGCCTGAGGTTAAAAGATGGCACTGATACTAAAAATAGAATCAATCTCCTGATTTCCAGCATTTATACTTTATCCTTTAGGCCACAATGCTTCCATATAATATCCAAATTTAAAGAAGAAAACTTAAAACATTACTGTTCAATGGGAGCTTTTTTCCCAGACTAAAACGTTTACCACAAGACTTAATAAATCCAATGAATGATATTTTAATATTTGAACCATGCCCTTAGCCATTGCTGAGTTCATCCTTCACCATGATCAACTCCATGAGGGCAAGAGGTCTATTGATCTTCATGTAATACAAGAAAATATTACATTTGCTTAATTGTTACACAGTGAGCACATAAGACAAGAAATCAAGGCTCTATTTAATGCTGCAAACAGCAGAGAATTACAGAGATCAATAAGGTAGTTTGTCAAGGATGTTCTCCAAGGAGACTTACCTATCACCGCATGGACAAGAAGTCACACTGACTATAGCTATTGAAAAACAGGTAAGCAGAGTCAGCAGTACAAATTATCAGAAATCAAACAGGCCAGTGTGAAAAATAAGTGCAACTATACTGAAAAGCTGTATTTATAGTTTGGTAATTAAAAACTGTTTTATCAGCTTTGTGTTGGGACCAAACCTTTACAGCAAGTATTGACAAGACCAGCAGCAATGAATGAGCAGTATTTGACTTAAAACTTATGAGCTATAGTTATTTAACTTTGCCCATTACAGAGGAAATCAGTTCTAGCCTTCCTTGCAAAATGCTAATCGTCAGTTTTATTATTAATGAAGCTTAATGTAACACTATCTCCTTTGTGTAAGCCATTCATTTAACTAGTGTCAAGTATATTCTTCTGACTAAATATATTGGCCTAAGTACTTCCTTGATTAAAGTGTTACTTAGAATTACTTTCAGACAAGTGAACAGTACATATATTTGAAGAACAGTTCACTCTCTGTTGCTCATTTAAAATGACTACCTTTAACGAAGCCAGTTTGTATTACTTCATTATTCTGGTGCTGTTACCTCAATCGCTTATTTTCTCTACCGACTTGCCAGAAGCAAGCACCCAAATGCTGGTTAGATTGAGTTTTATAAAATATTTTGCTACAAAAAATGTGAAAAGTTGTGGAGTATCCCCAACACATTAACATAAAACGATATATAATGTATGTTTGTAATTATGGGAGAGATCATAAATCTTAAACACCCATTGGTTTAGAAATTAAATAGTTCTACTTAGTTCTCCCTAAATTACTCCAAATTTCTGAAATTTACCATTCATCTGGGTATTTTGTAACTACCCCAAGGATAAAATTTTTTAATGGCTTTGCTTTCAAAAATGCAATTAACTTAATAAAATTCTAATGCAAAACTGCCATCATGTCTTTAAAATTTCAGCCCCCTTTCCATCGTCAACAAGTCTACGGATATGTACCATTTCAGCTAATTGCTTTTATAAACAGTTATCGAGTTTATTTTTCTGGGTCTTTCTGGATCTTAATTGTTCTTACAGCTTTATCACCACGCTATTTTAACTATTAATAAGTATTAATTTCATTCATCTTGCTGCATTTACATTAACTGATATATTATTATAAGTGGTATTGGATTCTTTAGGCAATAAGAAAATTAACAAACAAAATAGAAATGAACTCATAGGTACAGAGGCAGATTGACTGCTGTCAGAGGGAGAAGGGGGGTTGGGGGCTGGGTGAAAAAGGTGAAAGGATTAAGCACAGGGTAAAAGAAACCCTCATAGACACAGACAGCAGTGTGGTGATACCAGAGGGAAAGCCGGGTGGGGCGAGGTAGGAGGGGAAAGTGGGGATAAATGGTGATGGAAGGAGACTTCAGCTGCAGTGTTGAACACACAATACAGTGTACAGATGATGGACTATAGAATTTACCCCTGAAGCCTATATAATTTTATTAGCCAATGTCACCTCAATAAATTCAATGAAAATTTTTAAAAGAAGTTTCAACATTATACCTAGACCTCTTATGCAGGTAAATGACACAAGGGCTTTAACAAATTTCCATTTATAATCCTGGCAGCTGAACAGTTTAGATTTCAGTGTGCAATTAGAATTCTCATAAATTTTGGATTTACCAATGATACATTATCTCTACAATGTATCCTAAAATCCCCTACATCTTTTTCCAATATTATATAAAAGATTTTCCCCTTCATTCTTTGTGTGGGTGTATTTTCTCTTTAAAGAGAATTTGTTAATATCTAACTATAGAATCTGTGTATGTTATAATAATTTTTTATCTGTAGTTTAATCTAGTTCTAGGGAAATAAAATAGTATAAGTATCATGTGTTTCTAGTTCCCATTGGCTAAACTGAGTGTTGGGGGGGGGGGGGTGTGTGCATATAACAATGACAAGCTTTGCCTCTTGAGGGCTATGATTCATTTTAAAGAACCAGACACTGCGGAAAGAACAAAATGTTTGCAAAAGTTTTATTTTAAAGGATCAAAAATAAATATTGCTCATATGCATGAGAAAAATCCACTAATATTTATGTTTTCCAATGCACACTTTCAATACATGGCACCTTCATCTTCTTTATTTAGAAAATAAACTGTTATTGGTCCATAACTGGTATGCACAGTCTCTGTGACTCTAGCAAATAACCAGGAGCCAAGTCCATATAATAAAGTTGGAATACCTAAAAAACAAATGAATATGTTATTTTTGAACACCAATACTTATTAATCATGCACCTATATATTTGTCATGATACAAATCACATAGCACCCTTTAGCAATGTTAACAAATTATAAAAACATTAGTAAATATTGACTCTAAGAGCTCGATTTCATCTATTTGTGGAACATGGTAACAATTATGTGAGCCTAGAGATTTTTCAAACTATAGGCAGGGCTGGTATAAATTTTAATTCAAAGCACTAATTAATTACCTCCAAGTAACTATGAAGTAATTCTATATTCTTTTCACAAATAAGCAAACAGTGAATATTCATTATTTAGTGGTAGATACTCCTGGTTGAGCTTAAATCACTAAGTCAACTTTACTGTACTTTAAGTTAGACAGTAATACTGATGACTAAAGTAATTTTCTTTGTACAACTTAAAAGAAACTGGGTCAAACAGCTGTCTTCAAAACTAAGTCAAAACCTAACTCTAAGGAAGATTTTAGTATAATATCAGGCATGAAAAATTATCCCACTAGTACGTTTACATTTGATTTGAAAGCAATCTTGTTTTATCCTGTTTGAAATAGGTACATCATAAACTCCAACAACATGTTTCTTCCTTGGAATATTTCTGTTTGATAAGATTTTGCTAATATATTTACGATTAATTGCCTTTTGTGACATGAAACTAAACATACACTACACTGAGATTTGGAGATGCCTAAGAACACTCATATGCATATGAGTCTATGTTGGACACAAACTTTCACAATTCCTATCTTTTATAAAGCATTTATTTAAAATCAATGACTGTTAACATAATAAAACATACATGTAAAACCACAGGCATATGAATCAGTAACAAATATTGTATGTTCTACACACATATTAATTTTATTGCTCCCATGTAGTAATTGGACAGAAACTAGCAATTTAAAGAGCTGTACATTTGGGAAATCTTTTTCTTTCTAGTTAATAGGGAAATCAACACATGCTCAGGACTAATATTGGTAACTTTTTTTCTTATTTTTCTGCAAGAGTATATTTGCTGTGTTATGGTCTCTTTGAGCATTTAAGTGCACTGAACTACTTTGTGCTTCTTCCCTGAAGCTGCATCCCAGCCACTGTAATGCCAAAGATTAATCAGGAGAAGCATCGCTAGCTGGCAATGAGAAGAGGCAAAAATGCCCATTCAAGCTGGTACCTCTCTATTTTTAAGAATATACTGGGTCACAGCTTGTCACTATCACAGGGTTCCCTGGAACTCCTTAGAAACCTTTTATAGTATATTACCTTCTTTACCCAAAAGCATCTCTAAATGCCCCAAGGGAATGTCAGAAAATACACATAAAAACTAGCAACATAAAGCTATTTATAAATCATTTAACCAGAAAGGGAAAAAAAAAGGCAAATGGGACATGGGGCGGGGGAGTGGACAAGGGAAGAAAAAGAACAAGACAAGCAGAAGTGAGCAAAGAGGAGAGGGAGCAGTTGAAATAAAAAATAAATTTAAAACATGTTATTGCAGCTTCATAAGCAGAAAATCAAACTAGTGAGGAAAACAAGTTGTAAAAACAATGTTTAATTTTCTAATATACTGAGTAAAATATGCCTTTTAAACCAATTCTAAGGACATAAGGAACAGCTGGTGACACTGAAAATTTTGTTTGTTTTATAGTAATTATCACAGTTTTTGGTTAAATATTGACACTTAAAAAAATCACACACAGAAATGGTTAATATTTTTTCAGCTTAAATGGAGGACTGATCAAAGATTAGTAGCTTAATAACTATATTATCTCTTATTAAGAAACAAGTAAGAACTATTACCAGTAATGTGGTTTGATAGCAGATTGAGTTGTCATAAAGGAGTCAGAAATTCTATATATATTTTTTCCTGCAGTCTACTTAATACAGTCAGGCTAAAACACTGTATGGGAGGAGTTACCACTTTTACCTCATAATTTTCACATTAAAAAAACATAATTTTCTTTATCTATAGCACATATGCTTTAAAGTCTATAAGATTCCATGAAAAATTAAATTTTTTCTAGCCTGTCTGAAACATATAACATCAAAATGAACTGGAAATTCAGTCTTTGGCATAATAATTCATTTTGAGTCAGCTGAACAGTAGGTAAACAAACCACTGTCAAATTAAGCACTTAAAAAAAATTAGAACTTCATAGCAAGTCTCCGATTACCCATTCATTCCAATGGTAAGTTGCTTTTCTTAAATCTCAATCTACTTCCCAGCAGGATACCCAGACTGATAACCATCAGTAAAATGTCAGCTTCCATAGAAGGAAAGGCAGAGGAGAAAGAGAACAAATGGGTAAGTGAGGAATCTTTATTATTTACAAAATATAAAAATGAATTACTCCGATAATTTCTAATTTGGAAGGGAAAAAGACAAATAAAATCCTGAGTATTTTTATTAATAGACTATGTATTTGATGATCCAGAGGGGCAATTGTGCATCACAGAATAAGAAAGAACCCTATTATCCAATTCACATTCCCTACCTTCTGACAAAATTACAAAATAAACATTAGCAATTGGTGAGTACATTACTTTTTAAAAAGTCCAGAAATAAACTCCCATTATCAATGTAATCCAGTTTGTATTAAAGCCTACCAGAGCAGAAAGTTTTTATTTTTGTTTAACTTAAAAACTCTTATTCCCATCTAAGCAGGATTTTTAGAATTTCTAAAAGATCACAAAGACCATTCCATAGCTCTTCGACCTTCTCTTCCACATAAAAAACTACAACTGTTTCTTCAAAAGGTTTTACTTTTCTTTGTGAGAATGTTCTGGGTATCCTACTTTTCTCTGAATTTTTTTCTATCTAAAAAAACCCCATAATCATTACAGTGTTCCTAAAGTATTAAGTCTTAAACGGTGAAAAGTTAAAAAAAAAAGCATTCAGCTCATGTTATACTTTTTTTCCCATTATACTTTCCTATCATATTATTCTTTTGGGAAGAATGATTTTTTTCTGATTCTGCAAAGTTAAAGTAAACTTTTTAAAAAAACTTACTCTTCTTGAATCCAGTCATCACACCAGACTTTCCAAATAATTGTAAATTGAATTTTCTAAGTCACCTCACCCTGTCACCTGTGATCAACCTCAAAATTATGTAGGCATGCTCTCTATATATAGTCCACCAGCCAAACAATAAGACATTTTTTAAAGGATTACACGTTGGTAAATAATCTGCTCCTTACTGGACTGAACCCAGGACAATCCCAGTGGAGTAATGGCTCAAAAACCCCATGACTGACGTATGTGAGTTATTATAAGCAAAAATATACATACCATATTTATATTTAATGAGCGATCAGATTATGTAACACTAGCGCAGCTGCTTTAGCTTTAATTCTAATTTTAAAGACCTGGTTGGGTAACATAGGTCAGTTCCCATGTCTACATTTTGAATTACAGAAATCTAGATTAATTTGGTATCAGCGATTAACAGGTTCAAAACATCTTGAGGCCTATTTTTCACTGACCTATAAAAGATACCCCATGTCAATGTTCCTGCTTCTTTCGTCATTAACCAAGAAAAAATAAACATCCAGCAAGAGTAAATACTCTCAGAATTAGAATATTCCCATGAAAACCTACAAATACTAAGGAGGCAGTCTTTTCACTATCTTTTAGGCCTAGTACCTGAAGAAACCAATATGACTGGTGAAAACCTTTCGTGCTTTTGGTGAAGGGAACCTTATGGGATTTCATAGAAAGAAAACAAAGAAACATAAAAGTAGCTCCAGTTTTTATAATATAAACGCACGCACAAACTATGTTCATGGGGACAAATCCTGTCATGCATAAGGCATTTTTTAACTTGAGAGACACTTTCCAGTGGCTCACACTCTCCTTGCTGCCCAATGTAGGGGTCCTCCCAGTTAAGAGCCGCAGGAAGTGGGGATGGAATGCCCCCGCCCCAGGGTGATCCCTCAGCACAGGCCTGTGGATAACGCCCACTTTCCTGGGGAAGATTCAGTGTGGACAACTTAGCCCGTGTAAGCATCTACTGGGTGGGGACTACAAAAGACCAGAGCCAAGGCCAGTGCAAGAAGGGTGCAGTATGGTGGGAGGCGGAGGCAGTGTCTGGGAAGCCCACAGCAAGGGACGAGCGAGCGGGGCAAGTGCGTGCGCCCCGGAGAGCCTGCACGGGTTCGACACAAGACTCCTCCCGGGCCAACGTGGTCTGACCTTGGGCCGGGGTCTTGACCTCTGAGCGACGTTCGTCAGCGTGCTTTTCAAACAGTTGGGCCCTCGTCGGCGGGTCGTGCCTCACCCGCCCGGGCCACTCACCGAGGTTGATGACCTTGAGCGCCGTGAAGAACCGATCCTGCTGGGCCAGGTCCTGCCAGGGGGCCTTGGAGCAGTGATACTTGATAAAGGGGAAGCAGCCCGTGCGCAGAACATGGTAGTTGGCGCCCTGCACCGGCCAGTTGAAGTGCGAGAGGCCGAACTGGTCGTTGCGGACGGCGCTGTAGGGAACGCAGAAGGAGGTCCAGTGCGGCAGGCGTCGCTGCAGCAGGTGCTGCGTCAGCACCTCCGAGGCGTGGGGCTTCGGGCGGGAGGCGGCGCCCGAGGCCCAAGGCCGGCACAGCAGCAGCCGCAGAACAGCCTCGTGGGCTTTTCGCAGGGCCTCCATGGCCAGCCTTGCCCGCGCCCCCCGCCCCTCAGACGCCGTGGAGCGCGCACTGCTGGGGGCGGGGCCACCAGAGCGCGCGCACGCGTCCATCCCTCACCCCCACCAACCCCCGGGGGGAGCGGCAGGGACGCTCGACGAGCCCCGCGCAAGTACCCGAGAGACCCCGGGGAGCGGCAGCGCGTGCGCACGAAGGTGCTGCGGCCTTCCTCGGAGGGGGCGGAGGGAGCCGGTGTGGGCCCCGTGATTGGCGCAGTGGGGTGAGAGGAAGCAGCGCAGAGACGGTAGTGAAGTCGTAGTACTTGACCTCTTGCAGTCGTTAACAACCATAGGGTTGGGGAGGTTTTATCCGCCTAGGGTATGAGGAAAGTTAAGGCTTAAATAACTTAACCACCTTAGTGAGTAACAGCTCACACCCATCTCCTAAGTTCTTACAAGTGAAATCCTTAAGCGGGCGTTGTCGAGGGGCCACTGGAGGAGGTGTTCTCAGGCAAGTGAATTCAGAGTGGAGCCCCCAGATTTGCGTTGGCTGTATAGTCAAGGAGGATTATTATGTTTAGGTCCTGGTGGTCGTGTTTACTGTTTAAGCCCAGCTGTTTCAAAATAAAAAGTTTATTTTTAAAAAACATCCCAGGCCTTTCTGTGTGCCAGTGGTGATCTCTGTCCTAAGAGCCTGGCGAATGCTTGACCCGTAGTGTTTTAGTTACAAATCTTTATAATCTTCAGTCACCCATTATCAATCTATTTAGGAAAACCTTTTCTTAAGCTTTGCTGCCTCTTGAGATAACTTACACACCTGCTTTCTAAGGGAGCATTTTCTCTTTTTCTAAGCTCACGTTGTTTGTAGAAGCCGCATATAAATAAGATGTGTCTGGAAAGCACTGTATCTAAATGAAATAATTATGGGTAAACACTATATAATCACTAACGTTGTTGAAACTCAAAAGGAATGTAGGACTGTGTGGCTAGTTCTTACATCTCCAGTTTTTATTGATTCGTTCAGCAAACAGTGCTCGAGCACACACTACCATGTGCCGAATATTGAAGGACCTGGTAGTCATGCAAATAATTTGAATTTTACCTTACCCACTATTGGATAACAGTTTTTAAAAGATTTTAGGTGGAGGCATGATGTGGTTAGACTGGCACAGGAATGGCTGGAGGGAGGCTAAGACAGGAGTCAGGGAGGTGGCTCAGTACCTGATTTTTCAAATTAAATTTTTTAAAAACATTGGAGTTCCTTTTCAAACAAAAGCTGTTACAGGATCTCAACATACAAAGTAGATGAAAACTTGTGTTTTATTACTAAACATTTGTAAATTCAAATTACTGACATTAACTTTATAGTTAAATAAAAAACAAAACAATGAGGCTAGTTTGTTGCTGTCTTGAGGGTTTTCTTTTTGTTTTGTTTTTAGCAAAAGAAAGGAATTTATTGGAAGGAAATTGGGTAGCTAAAATAACAAATAACAAGTCTGCCGGCCAAGCTCAGAAAATGTATTTTTTGGCCCCACTGCTATTGGACTCTTGACCCTGCTGTTCTGTGCTTGAAATATTTTAAAGTTGGGGGTTATGGAAAACAGTTGCAGTTATAACAGCCTAGGGACAGTTTATTTCTTATTCCTTTGTTTCCGTTGTATACTATCAAGAAAATCCTGATCCCTACAGAGAAGTAGATACAAATAGGAGTGGTTTTTAAATGATTCACCTTGAAATCTTTGGCAAGTGCTTTAATTAAAAGATGGCAGGTGGAGATTAATTCTGAGATCTATCCTGAAATGACCACCTCAAATTAATGTGTGGGCAGTTTTTCAATATGTTAAATTTTGGCATTAAATAATTTTTGGCAATATAAAAATCTATTTTAAAAATAAAATGAATAAAATATTAGTGGAGCCTCAAGTATGTCTCAGAAACCCTAGGTTCAGTGGGATATAAGGTAAAAACCACTGATGAAGCAGAGATTTAGGGTTTCATTGTGTTACATCATAAAGTCTTGGGAAAAGGGTTGAGAACTGAAGGATTCGTTTTGGAAGATACTCTCTTGGGAAGACCTCATTAGCGATGATGATTTCCCTAATCCAAGGCTCTTTGCCTATTTCCCACCTCTTTTCTAAAGTAGGAATGTCCCTGAAACAGAGCTGGTAGCTGGGGACCACATCCAGGTAGTCAGTAATCACCCAAGAAATGGAAATTAAACCGCAGCGCAATACCATTACACACCCATAAGAGTGGCTGAAGTAGAAAAGATGGATAGTACTTAGTGAAGAAATACAGTTATTAGAACTTTTATACGCTGCTGGCAACGGCTTTGGAAAGATTGGGGGGAGTATGTGCAGTCTGTCCAGAAAGTATCCACCCATGTAGTATGAAAAACGAATGTGATGGCCACACAGTACACATGCTCACTCAGTGGCATCTACCACCCCCATGGACTAGTACGGTGAAGTCATACATTGTTCATACATGCTCATTCCAATGCACTCTCCTTGGCTGCTAGGTTACACTGATGTTGAGCAAACTGTTCCCATCATATTAACAATGGCTGGACTTTTTCTGGACAAACCTCATATATCGTAGCTGAACATACAGACATACCTTGTTTTGCTTTTCACTTCTTTGTGCTTTACAGATGTTATGGTTTTACAAATTGATGGCAAGACTCTCCACCAGCAAAATGATGACCAAACCTGTAATATCTCTGAGCTATGCTTGTGTGCATTTCTTATGACCTAGCAATATCATTCCTGGGTGCATATTTGTATTAGTGTGGTCAGGCTGCCATAGCAAAATACCACAGGCTGGGTGGCTAAACAACAGAAATTTATTTCTCACAGTTCTGGAGACTGGAAAATCCAACATCTGAATGCCAGGTGGTTGGGTTTTGGTGAGGGTTCTCTTTTTGGCTCACTCTTTCCTCCCACTGCAGAGAGAGCTAGTTCTGGTGTGTCTCTAACTCTTCTGATAAGGGCACCAGCCCCATAGGATTAGGGTCCCACCCTTATGACCTTATTTAACTGTTATCATCCCCTCACAGATCCTATCTCCAAATACAACCACATTTAGTATTAAGGATTCAACATATGAATTCAGAAGGGACACAAACACTCAGTGCATAATAATAACAAATAGAAATTGTGTGTATATGTTCTTCAAGAGACATTTACTGAAATATTCATAACAATACTATTTATATTTGTAATATTTGACCTAGAAATTATTCAAATGCCTATCAGCGGTAGAGCAGATAGACAAATTGTGGCATATTAACATAATGGAATGCTATACAGCAATGAGAAGGAATGATCTGATCTAGAAGCACATACAATGTGTGTAAATCTCACAAATGTAGGAGTGAAAGAAGCCAAATGTTAAAGTAATTACTATATGATTTCATTTACATAAAGTATAACAACTAGCCATACCTCATTTATGCTGGTAGAAGGCAGGATAGTGGTCATTCTTAGGAGGGCAAGGAGGGAGGGAGGCTAGTCATCGGAAGGAGTATGAGGAGACTTCTAGGGCACTGGGATTATTCTCTCTCTTCTTATTCTTTTATTTCTATAGCTTTTTAAAAAATAGACTTTATTTTTACTTGTAGTTTTAGGCTCACAGCCAAATAAGAGGAAGGTACAGAGATTTCTCATCCATTTGTACTTCATACATACATAGCCTCTCCATTATCAATATCCCACATCAGAGTGGTACATTTGTTATAAATAATAAACTTACAAATTATTCTCTTTCTTGATCTGGATTCTATAGTTAAATGGGTGTATTCAGTTTGTGGATTCTTTGAACTGAACATGTGTGTGCACTTTTCTGTATGTATATTATACTTCAATAAAGAGCTTGGTTTCACTGTGTTAGCTGGTGTGGCTAAGTGTATTGAGCACCGGCATGCAAACCAAAGGGTTGCTGGTTCAATTCCCAGTGTAGGTCACGTGCCTGGGTTGCAGGCCAGGTCCCCAGCAGGGGGTGTGTGAAATGCAACCACACATTGATGTTTCTCTTCCTCTCTTTCTCTCTCTCTCTCTACCCCTCTCTAAAAATAAATAAATAAAATCTTTAAAAAAAAAGAGCTTGAAAATAATTAATTCTATAGGTACTGTTATATATTAACCTTCCATTATTATTATGGCTTATGAACAATTATGTACAGAGAACATATATTGTGGACATAACTGAAGCATGACCTTTTACGTATGTAGAATATTTATTCTCCTGTTGTTTTTATAACCTTACTGTGAGATCCTGATTTACTCACATATTTCTAATAGTATGTTTTAAAAGAAAGTAAGGTAGAGTTTAATTTCACTGCTATTCTCAGAGGGAGGATTATGGGTAAGAACTGGATGAATATGTCAACAAGTTGGTAAAAGATAAAGGTCTTATGAAAAAGGGATAGAAATGTTTGCATTTAGGATTTTATTTACAATTTCTAGTTTGAGACATAAGGACTTTTGGGTGAAGGAAAAATGGACCATAGAGATGATTCATGTTCCAGCATGCTTTAGAACTTAAAAACAGATATCAAAAGAGCCACCCAAATCTACAAGGAACCCAAATCTGCTTAATGGCTCAGTGCCCACTAAGCCAAGCTCAGCACCAGGGGAGATGGCGGTGAGTTACCCCCACAGCTTGATGAATGCTCATTAATTCTCCCCACTTCTCTCAGTGGCAAACACTGCTTGCAGCTCCATTCCTATAGCTCTTTCTCAGCCCTGGCAAGGACACCATACCTTAGTTTTACACAAAGTTATCTTCATGGAAGTTCTGAATTATGGCAGAAGTCATTAGGAAAGGAAAGAATTGGTATATTCTTATCTCAATCTTCTTGAGTCCTTCTGTGGAACCTATTGATGTTTTGACAGCCGCCGCAAGGGGTCAGCTGGCAGCTGGGACTGCTGTAACAAAAAGTGGCAAGAAGAACTACCCTGGTAAAACATTTTACCATGAATATAGTGGATACAGAATCTCACCCAAAAGCATCTTGTGTCTAAACTACCCTCAAGTTCTCCCTGACTGGAATGTAAACTTCCTAAGGCCAGAGATTTATGTGTTTTGTTAACCTTTGTGATCCGAGCACCTAGGACAGTATTTGGTACATAGTAGTTACTCTACGTGTTGAATAATAATAAGAAAAAAGTAGATAAAGTTAATAAGTAGTGTGTTTGAAGGATATTGGAGAAAAAAATTTACCATATGTAGGGTTGTTACCATAAAACAGTCAGAGTGCCAGGGAGTCTCCCCCAT